ATTTTCTGTTAAAAAAATTATTATAATGATAAGTTTATCTTTGTCAAGATTAGTGCTTATGAGTTATTCTTATGAACTTGGTTATTATAATACCTTGTTCAGGTAATTACTTATTTTCCTTTATATAATAAAGATTGATTTATTTGTAATAAATTTTCCTTAGACTAAGGACTAAATTGACGATGTCAATAATGTATAATGTATACCAAGTTATGGCATGTAATTTTCTCTCCGATTCACATAAGAATCTTTGCTCATCTCCTTCATGTTCTCTTGATGCACATTTCTGTGAGGGATAGGATTATAGGCGTGCTGATTACTATAATATCTTTTATTATCTATTTCGCGCCCTTGGTGAAACTATGGGGAGATGATGCCACATTTTTTCATGAATGAATGAAAAACAAAACTACATGCTATCAAATCCCGTATTCTACATCAAATGGTATATCATTTTGTTTCAAAGTATTCTTTCTTCTAAATTAGAGTCACCACTAAGGATCAACAATCACCTTTAGCTTCTCTTATATGTTGGGCTTTAGCTTCTCTTATATGTTGGGGAGCATTACTAATGAAGTTGATTGTAGAGCAAGTGAGCTAGAATCTTCTAGAGAACATTAACAATGTCACTATTTGCATCTCATGCTATGTAATTCAGGCAACGTGAATGTTCCATGTCCTTAAGTTTTGACTAAGTTTGGTGAGAAAATTGCTAATGGTCAACTAAAGCCATTTGCAAATATTGAAACTAATATATTAAAAATTCTTAGAACAAGTCATCTCATTAGACATTTTGATTGTTGCCATTCATTTTTGGTATAATTCATTGATCTCACAACTTTATGAGAGTCATCCTCAAGCATTCTATTTGATCAAATGAAAACATGTACTGAGATAGCCAACGTGCTATTAAAAAATGAGTTTTCATTTTCATTTGTATAGAATACAAGGTTTAGAAGGGCTTGTGCATCCTATTCACCAATTTGAGAAGAACAATTACTACAGGTAACTATAACATAAATATGATGATAAAATGTGATCAAGAATTTGATTCAGATCTGATTTTGTGGGAACTTATCTATGTAGAATTTAAATTAGACATTGTAATATGTGAATTTAACAACAAACTTTACTGATGAGTGATGCAAGCCAAACATTGAAAAAAAATATCAATTTTTTTTTGTCACTGCACCACTGTTGGCATGCTCATTGCGCAAATCATATTAAAGTGCTTAATTGAATTGAATATCTAAGTAAAATTTTAAATTATTACATTAGGGAACACATCAACAGATCATTTGATGTGTTCGCATATTACGTATAGCCTTATTGATTGAAGGTTAATTTCCTTTAATGGTCCCCTTTTTTATATAGGATGTTGCTCTCATATTTTTAATGTAATTGTGCATTATGCGTTTTAGAATACACAAAATATCATTGATAATATCTGTGAACGTTAACTATGTTGTAATCCTTCATATCAATCCTAGGAATTATCAAATTTATGAAGCAGCGCAATAAGTTGGCATTATAAGCAACTATAGTTATGTTTTTTTGCTGCAGTTCTTGGAATTTAACATACTTCATATTAGAGAGTGCTATATACTATATGAAGATATTCATGTCATTGGAATCCTCTGTTAATAATTTTAAGGAGCATTTGCATAGATAGCACCCAAAATATTGCTATTTACAAATCTAGCACCCTCTTTCATTCATATTTCAAATTCTCACTCAAATATCAAAATTCATGATAAAACCCTAACACTTTTTTTATTTTTATCAAATTCTCAATGATTTGATTGTGACACGCGTAAATATATCGATTTAGTAGTTTAAAAATAGCACCCAAGTGCTAGATTTTGTATATAACAATATTTCAGGTGCTATGTTTGTAAGGGTAATATGCTTTGACATTTAGTGGGATAAATGCTTTGTTGTTGTTATTGTTTTTGTATACTTTGTCACTGAGTCAATGATTTGAAGCTCATTTTGAAGTGAAAAAATTATGTTGTTCTTGAAATTTTATAATTTCACAAATATATATATATAAAAGTATTGGATTGATGATGGGTTTAGTCTAAGATCTAGAGATCATCATTACTTGTTATTGCAATGGTACTTGATCCTCATTACAAGGCTATATTTTTGGATTTTACGTATGAAATATTGTATGACAATGATTCTTAAGGCGTATAAACAATGTTAGGGGTAAGTTGTAGTCTTGTACTCTTTGTACATGGAGCTTGCTAGTCAATAAGTACAATTTCTACAAGTTTGTAGATTAAAGAAAATATAGTTGTCTTTGTAAGTATGAAAGTTTTGAGTGGAACATACTTCTTTTAAATGTATATTCCTGTTAGTGCTGGCAATCAAAGAGACAAAACATTGATATGCATACTTATGGTCTTTGCAACTTTGAAAAGAAAGAGTTGGTACCTCACTTGTCTTCTTCTCCAATAGGAGGATTGTGCCCCAATTATTGGTTCCATTAAAACTTAGAATTTGATTTGGTGAGGGGATTTAATGGAGAAGCTAATACTAAACAATAATAAATAAACTTGCAGACATACTATCTATTGCCCATAAAGATACTCATATAACTACAATGCGTGGCCTTGCCACTTTGCCACTTTTTTATTGTCTTTACTTTGCTGTCAATCCTGATATTTCTTTTGTTCACAACAAATCCCAAGTAGGGGAGAGATTTATTTGCAAACTTGCTTTTCTTCTAGTTTAGGTGGAGTTGATGTTGTTGCAACAATTTGAATTCCTAGCCTCATGCTATTTAAAGGCTCTTCCCGTGAATTGCCAGAGACCAAAATATTGTTCAGATAGTTGATAATGAAGTCACAGTGCTGCAATAGTAGTGCCATTAATCAAACATATTAGGGTGTCAAGGGCATTGAATATTCCCAATGACATGAACAACCATTCAAACAACTCTTGCCTCATCTTAAACATTGCCTTCTAAGTGCCTTGATCTTTTATTCGTCTGTGATAATAGCCAGATTTGTGATTCATTCCGGCAAAGCTGATGTCAAGTGATGTTGATCTAGCAGGTTATTGACAGGAGGTAGAGGAAAATGATTTTTCATTGTTAGTTTGTTGCGAGCATAACTTTCACATCCCATCTTTCTTGGGTTCCATCATAATATGGGACTGAGAAGTATTGTTGGGCTGGATCACTTTGTTCTTAAGCAACTATGTGGCTTTGTTTTAGAGCTCATTTTATAATCAAATTATTGCACAACAAGATTTTTGGTAGTGATAGGTTTGAAATACGCCCAATGTGGTGCTCAATGGCCTTCTTTTGTGGCAATACTTCAATCACTTGAGGAGTATTTCACACTCCTTAATTTGCTTCTTCGTTTATATATCACCATTTTTGTTGGCTACATAGAAGGCAAGTCTTTTGCTTTCACCTTTAATTGGATGGACAAGCAACATCATAAACTTTTAGCCAACACCAATTGTCTATTTCAGCTTCTTGTTATCATGTCCTCCATCGGAATGTTGTAGTCCTTCTACGAGAAGGCCCTTTTATCTTTTGTGAGCAGGAACTAGTAAAGTCATCAATTTAACACTACATTTCATGATGGTATACACCCCAAAGACGACTAGATAAATTTGTTGTGGAACTTTCTTGTACAATATATTGTCAACACAAACCTTTTTTTTATTGTGAATTTGAGTTGGCACTGGAAATCAATTTTCCCTTTTGACAGCTCGAGTGATAAGTGCTTGGGTGGTAGTGTTGTTTAACCCCATTTTTTGCACTGGATTAGTAGTAATGGGGCTCTTCTGATTTCTGACTTTCAATGTTGATGATGGTGCTAATCACCTCCTACTCGACCTTCACTGTTAAGGTGAATAACTTCTTCCATATGTACATTTTGCGAAAAAATGCCATTACTATTTCCTCAACATTGCTATCAGAAATAAAAATGATTTCTCTTCATCCAATGGACTCAACACATTTTTGGTCCACCACAACAGCAGTTGATATTCCTTTCCCATCCTTCTTTTATTTTTCGGGAAAGAATCTGGTTTAGTTGTAAGCATTTCTTTTTGTTTTGTGGCCAAATAGAATAATGGTCATAAAACTATCATAGGCATTTTTTTTTGGAGGAGATAAAATCTTGGAGCGTTGTCTATTTTTTCCCATTTAATTTTTTGAGATAGAGGAAAGACCTTTATTTTAATGGTTCTTTGGTCTTCTCAGTCCCACCTTATTATTTCGTTTTATGTCCTTTGCCATGATAATAGCTTGGTTGAAATTTTTGATGCAATTTGAGAGTAAAGAGCAAAGGTGTGCTTCATTAATGTTTGTACATCCTTAAATATAACTTTGAAAGTGACTTTCTGACTTATAAGCTTTCTTGGCGTTGCCTCAAACTGTGCAACTTCTTCACAAACTTTCTTGGCGTTCATCATATATTCTTGCACAAACTTTCTTGGCGTTGCCTCAAACTGTGCAACTTCTTCTACCGATCTTCCATATAATGCAATGATCTCCTACTTCAGATCTAATGTAATGCAATGATCCAAACTTCCCACTTTTGATCTTGATAAGTAGGTGTATGTTGAGGATCTTTTCTCACAGAGATTTCTGCTGATTTGATTTTCATTTTCAGTGATATAAAAATCAAAATTATTGATACTCTATCAAGACTTATATTGTCAGAATTTTAATTATCATGTTTTCCTTTATACCTTCACGATATTATAGCTTAATCATGAGTATGAATTATCTTATCGATCATTCTCTTGATCTGATCCTCATATCAGCATAACATATATATTTGCTTTCATTTTTATCCTAAACCAGCTATATCTGCTTCTCGAGAATCTGCATTAGCTACTCATCTTTAAAGCATCTTTGAAATGATTTTGTTGATGTTACTCTTATACCTCAAAAATGTTACAAGACTTGCTGTACTTACCTTTTGCCAATTGCTTAGAAATAAAAATTGTTGTTTTCTTCTCCCCAGACAAACTTATGGCAAGAATCAAGCCTCAAGCATTGCTTATTCAGAGCAAGAAGAAAAAGGGCCCAGCTCGAGTCAGTCTTACAACTATCATTACATGCAATCTTTTAGTCATCTTGGTTGTATTATCCTTGTATGCAACCTACAATCACTGGTATAAAAGGTTAACTTTTCATTTCTTTCATTTTAAATTCCCTTTCAGTCATATGCAATCAGATCAGATGCTTGGCTCAGGACTAATTATTGCATTCACTTGTATTCTTGTCAAGCTCTTGTGTTAGGACTTTAAACTGATATTTAATCTCCTTTTTTGGAAACTGAACTCCATGCAGGTCAAATAACCAACTTGGAACGGTATTAAAAACTTCTGAGGTACATTTTTGATTTGTTTCATATTCGTTGGCTTCTTCTGTTAGTGGTGAGCAGATGCACCGTCTTGTGGCATCTGCTTAATGTTTCATTTACTTGAATATTACTTTTCTGTTTCTATCAGTTTTATTTGCTTTTAAGCGTGACAGTCACTAATTATTAGTTTTTTTTTTCCTAAAGCACACCAACGGTAATGGGGAGCCCAAGAAATTTGATCTACCTGGCTATGCTGTAAGTTCTCTGTTCCTGACGGAGATCTTGAGCTTCATTCTTATCTGTCAATTTTGTATCCTGCCAAGACTACATTTTCTTACGTATTTTTGTGTATGAACTTCCTTTCTTATGAATATCATTAGCCAAATAGGTTGGAATTTCTTGATTATGTTTGGCAACATGTGCAAGATTAAGTCAGGATTGGTATTATTTTGTTTTTGCATAGCTTTCCCAAAACTTGTCCATCTACAATATTGATTTGAGTGGGAATTGTATGAAAGATTGTCTTACCTGCAATTGCACGTCACCCCCTTCATGGCTTTACTATCACGGGTAGGTTTGTCAAAAAAGCTCGTTCGCGAACAACTCGTGTTCGGCTCGTTCGTTCTCTTTCGTTAAGAAAACGAGCCGAACACGAACAAGTTTATAAAGCTCAAATCATAAACGAGGCGAACACGAACAACTCTTTTTTCGTTCTTGTTCGGTTCGTTTTAGCTCGAAATAAAAAAATTATGTAATTGTTTATATAATAATATACTACATATATTATTTATATAATAATATATTATATATGTTTATATCGAAATTTAGATCATAACACCTCGTGTGGCAATGTGGTTAGTGCTTTCTTGCATACATTTGGTTTAGGTTCGAATCTAATACTTTACATCTATTTTTTTCAATTTAATTTTAATGAGCTAATTTCGAGCCGAACACGAACACAAATATTTAAGTTGAGCCGAACACGAACACATTGTTCACGAACCTATTTCGAGCACGAGCAGTTTTGAACGAGCCGAACATGAGTCAAGCCTGAGCTCGCTCAAGCTCGGCTCGTTTACAACCCTAATCATACGGAACTCACATGGAGTTGCATGTTCTCTGTTAAGTTGCAATGACTTCAAAACTTGTAACACAACACATAATATTATATAAAACATGCCTACAGCATGGCTACATGATACCGTTCTAGGGTTTCTAGAAGATGGTTGGGAAGCAGGTTTGATGGGGAGGAGGTGGAGGAAAATTAGGGGAATGAAAATATGTGCGATCGGCAATTTTTGGAGGGGGATAAATGACGTCGGCAGTTGACCCATCTGAAAACAACAAAAAAAAATCACGAGACCGCGTGGTATGGATGTCTAGAAGGTTCATCAACTGTTTCCGAGGAAGATACAAACACAACACTTGCAAAACAAAAAAAAAAAAAGAATGCAACACTCCTTAGATCATAAATAAGAGAATATAATCTCTCAAAACATGAAACTAAACCTAGCTCCTCCAACAACAAAAGACAACATATAAATAGTTCTTTCATAGAAACACCCTTACTAGAAATAGAGAAATAAGATTAAATCAAAAAGGAAGAAAAGATATGCGAAAATTTGGAAGTCGGCGCTCCCCTCCCCTAGTTCAAATCCATGCTTGTGGAATCCACGATTTTGTCATTTGTGGAACTACTGCACTCGAAATCACTATGTCACAACTGTATCAGGAATTCCTTGCATCATCCTTCTTGACTAGGAGAGGCTTCTTCTTCTTCTTCTTCTCTGTATGCTTTTGGAATCGATTTATCACCTTCGGAATAAATTCATTGTATCGCTATGGTTGAAACAACTTCACTACAAAATCTATGCTCACGCTCATCTCAGTTAACTCCAAATCGCATATATTTTTCATAGGCTGTTCTGGTAGAATAAATATACCTCATTTTTTGACACAAATAGAGCTGAAACTACACATGGATTGATATTCTCATGAACCGAGCCTTGAGCTATTAATTTTATACCCTACTTCTTCCACTTATATTCGACTGAGTGTATCTAATTGAGAAGTATATTTAGAGGAATCGACCCTGAAATGAATTTAATGGCATGCTGGACCACCATCAGTGACAGTCATCCAAGAGGTAAATGGTCAGTCATGATATTTGACAACTCCTTTAATAAGGGCTATCCCTTTTCAAGTATCAACTCCTTAGACTCACTATCTTCTAAGATAATCAATTTAATTCTATTTTGATCTCTTGCTTTGGGTTAGCTTGAGTCACTAGCATGTCTTCCTTTTTGGCTGAAGATTGAGACTCTTTCTTGACGTCTTCATTCTCTCATGTGTCACTGCCTATTTCTTCAACTGTTCTCTGCTTAGTGAAAAATTTTGCTTGGCGTCTTCATTCTCTCATGTGTCACTGCACATTTCTTCAACTGTTCTCTGCTTAGTGAAAAATATTGCCCTTCTGTTTAAGCATTCAAATTTTGTGTAGCAAACCATTACACTTAATGAGGGTGGATTTCGGAGTGCTAGTGGGCTCCAAATTTTCTCTACTCTAGAATGTTTTTTTTTTCGGTGGGATAAGCTTGGATGCTCTACTGAGTGTACTCTGCCTAATCCAATGGCTAAGCTCTCCACCTTCAAGGTTAGGTTTTAGGCATCTTGTAATGTCTAATAAGGCTGCAACTATACCACAATGCCAATGGGAACTCAATTCCCTCGGATATCGAGCTATTGTGTGCTCATTGGGCTCCACTAACCCACACTTCTATATAAGATGCTCTAACTCAGTTGTTTACTCCTCTAATGAGAGATCTTGATATTGCAAGTGATGAAGTATGAAGGCATGCCCTATTTATAATAAACTAGCAAGTACTTGCGCTGCATCTATCGTTTTATCTTGGACTATGTAGTGATTTTACTTTTTTCTTTTCTCCCATCATAATGATGCACTATTTTTTTAACTTAATGACAGTTAGCTTTGCCATTTTGTCCAGTAGGATGTCGTATTCAAAGATACGTTCCTCTGTTTGGAGCAACTTTTATGAAATTATCCGGATCGAAAAAAATATCAAAATTTGGTAAATCCACTTTTGCTCTATGATATTGGCTCTCTGATTTTCCATGCCAAATTACTGGGGTATTTGTTCTTCATCATTGGAAACTTCCCGATAAGGGATTCATTTTCTTTTCTCGGCCTGACAAGTCACTTTTGTGGTTATGGGTGACATCACCGGATTGTTTCCTCTTAAAAGAAGCAAGTTTTTGTTGCAGTCGAAAGATTTTTCGCTGCATATCCTCCATAGTATGTTCCTGGACACATCTTTGCAGATTTCTCTTAGGTGGCATTATTTCTTTTTCTCTTGATCATGATTTCAATGGGAGTAGGGTTATTGATAAAAGGTCGGTCGAAGTTTAAGGTTTTTGTGATAGGTGTCGGGGTAGAATTTTGGTAAATGTAGTAATGTTGGATTTTGAAAATTTAGGATTTGGGCTAGCAATTGCGCTATGATTTAGGTACGGTGAGAATTTTTTATTTTTTATGAAATTTTGGATTTGGGGCAAGAGAGACAAATCCCTAAAAATTTTGTGTTTGATGGGCTTTGATACCAGATACTGTTCTAGAGTTTCTAGAAATTGTTTGGGAAGTGGGTTTGATAGGGGCGGTGGAAGAATGGTAGGGGAATGAAAATATGGGCGATCAACGATATTTGGAGGGTGATATATGATTCGGTGGCTGTCCTAGGTGAAAATAGAAAAAAAGAACCACTAAATGGTGTGGTACGAATGTCGAGGAGATTCACCACTTACGCCTGAGCAATATATATGTACACCGCTTGCAAAAGAAAATGATAAAACATTTCTTAGATCATAAATCAGAGAATACAATATCTCCACACACAAAAAATATATCTAATCCCTCAAATAGTAAAATATAACATATAAAGTTTCCGCGTAGAAAAAAAACCTAATTAGACATATTGATTTTGGAAACAAACCAAAAGGAAGAAAATATATGCAAAAATTTGGTAGACGTCGCTCCTCTGCTCCTGTACGAACTCACGATTGCGGGAGCCGTGATTCCACAATTTGCGAAATTACCGCACTCGGGATTGCGGTATTCGGACAATCTCACATCACTCCATGACAATCTCACATCACTCCATTTCGTAAAACCTTCCATACATCAAATCTAATTTGGTTAGGAATTTTATGAACTCCTATCTCTTACATGAATCTTTTCATGGCTTAACGGTCATCAGAAACACATTTTTGGAGTTAGAAGACCTCTGTTGATTTGTAGTGGCTTTATTTGGCTTAGGCATCTCATAATAGAGTTGCAGTGGCTTTAATTGACAGCAAAGCTCGTCTGGATCGTCCATGGAGAGGCCTCTCACAATTTAGAGGCCATTTGGAATCCTTTTAACTATTTATTTTGATTTTGTCTTCTATTTGTTTTGCTTATGTTTTGATATGAAATAAAAATATGTTTGACTTCTTTTTTTTTCAAGTTTGAGAGAATGAGGTCAGGCGAGCAGGCGTACATGAGCAAAGTTTCTGCGCAACCAGGGGAGAGGGCTCGAAGTAGGCTGGTTTGCGAGATTGGTATTGAGTTTTGGCAGATGCAGGTTTAATTGGGCATGTTTTGGGCTTTACAAGCGGTGGGCATGGGGCTAGCCAGTGTGGTGTAATGTGAGATTGGGTGTTTGGGAGTTTCTCACTATTTATCTGTTTATTCAGTATTTATGTTCTTTCGGATTGTTTGGGCAGTCTTTATTTTATTATTGATCAAGCTACAGCCAACCAGAACCATGTCATGGGCCCCATGCTGCATTTGTCTGATATTTTTTGTTTTATTTAGATAACAAATTGTGAAAGTTTCTTTTGAGTCCTATGTAAGATTATTTGGCTTCTGGATATTCTTAAGTGTAATTATTTTTTTTACTCTTTTGAGCTAGGCATATAAATAGCAATGAATTTCTCATAATTTCTTCTTTAAGAAGTATTTACTACTTTTTCTGTAGGTCATTGAAACATCCAAAGGTTCACTCACTGTGGAGCTTCATAAGGATTCCTCCCCAGAGGTTGTGGACAAGTTCCTTGATTTATGGTATGCAAAAATTGTCATTTAATCTCCATTTTTTGCTACTTAGAGTGCTACTTTCCTTCATTCCTGTGCAAGTCCATTATATTAATATCATGAAAATTACTGACAAAACTGTTTATACAGTCAAAAAGGATACTTCAAAGGAATGCGTTTTCATCGTGTAATAAAGCACTTTGTTATTCAAGGTGGGGACCCTCACAACCTTGGTGCTGCTGAAGAATGGGCTCTCCATAGAAAATCCAATAGTCAGCTTGAGACAAGGTTTGATACATTGCAAACATGCTTAGAATATTTTTACGCCGTCTTTTATTTACGAGGAAGATGATTGCATTAAGCTAATTTACTTCCAACTTTGCACAAACTTCCTCATTCTATTTCTGTCAATTTTGATGTTGTCTGTGGTTTGAACAGCCCTAAGCACGAGGCTTTCATGCTTGGAACTTCAAAAACAAAAGCAAATGATAAAGGATTTGAGATCTTTATTACGACTGCACCAATTCCTGACCTAAATGATAAGCTTAATGTGTTTGGGCGGGTCATCAAAGGCGAGGATGTTGTACAGGTAACAATCTAATTTATTTTCTCATTTTCCTTATATATTTCATGACTTAATTTTAAATCAAATTTGACAATATACTCCCTTAAACATATTACATATCCAAATGCCATTAATTTTCATTATCATATACAGTTTGATATTGACACCCTTGACGCTTAACATGTATGAGCTTTGAAAGCTTCTGCTTAGACTGCTTGCCTGACTGAATATGACAGCACGCAAGATTAGTGATATTTGATTTATAAAAATATATTATTTTTGAAGAATGAACTCGCAGATGTTGGTAAAAACATAAAAATATTCTCTATTGATTATTCCAATTGATTGGAGAATGATGTATGGAAGTTTTTTGAGGTCATGATTAATTTTTATTCTAAATTTATGTAATGAATTCCCCTTTAAACTTCTTAGGAAATAAAAAATTGTAAGCATTGAGTGATTTCTACCTTCATCTAAATTTGTTTTTTAAAAGGGAAATTTACATACATACCACACAATTCTTATGCATTTACATATCTAGCACCCAGAGATTAATATTTACACTTGTAACACCTTGGTATCATAAACCTATGTCGGAAAAGATGGATTTCATTTTTAAAATGGCAGCGATGATAGCATTTTTTATGTGATGTTAAAGATTTGAGTGACATGTATGTAAATATGAATGTTTAGGTGTTAGATATGTGCATACATAAAAATTGTGTGGTGTGTATGTAAATGCCCCTTTTATTAATATACAGCTTTCTTAGGGTCTGTTTGGGGCAACAACAACTTATTAAAATGCTTCTGCACAGCAACTATGCTAGGAAACTGCTGCGCAGAAGCTGCTGCGGGAAAACTGGGTGTCTGTTTGTTTTATGTAGTTTTACAATAGCTGTTTATGAATAAATGACCCTTTCTGCCTCTGTTGTATAGTTATGTTTATAATAAAATCAGTCCTAATTTCACATTTCATATATAAAAACAGATATACAGTTTGAATATTATAAAATAAAAACTGACACCTCACTAAACAATGACACAACAATCAAAACTATAAATAAAATTATTAAAATAATAATTAATATTATCATAATATTGTTTTTAAAATACAGCTGGTCAATGTCATAAGATAATTCTTCCATCAACGAAACTCTCCACGTCTGATTACTATCAGCGGTGGAATCATCGACCCAATCCGCCAATCTCTGATATATTTCTTGGATACCTGTAAAATTATCTCTCATAACTATGAATCTGTCGCGAAGTAAGCAGAGAATATTGTAATCCACAGTAATATTAGAATGCTCTGGAGGCAACAGAAGTCCTCGAGCTGATATTTTCTGAAGGTTTAAAACCACAAAACACAAACCTTTAGATACAACATTAGTAATGAAGAATAATAGAAATACTTAATTAAATTTCTATAAATTTGTGAGGTCTCAAAGCACAAAATATAAAACGACGAATAATCTGTCACTACAAGAAGATAGTAATCTTTAAAAGAAGTGTTTTTGGTTTTTTTAAACCACGTAATAATGAGCTCGTACATGAGACTTATGCATATCACCATAAAAATCATCTAGAAGAACCCTAACAGTCATATGATTGAAAAACGAGGGATACTTGGTTGCCTTCATAGTGATTTCATGTGTCAAATACCCAGAACAACATATAGGTCATCCATAAGAAGCCATAAGGTCGAATATTTTATCATAAATCTCCAAACAAAAATAAAACATATAATAAATACTTACATTAGATATTATACCCACTGTTGTCTCGCAGGCCATCCATGTGGGAAAAAATACATGCAAAAGAACTGGAAATAAAAGTTCCACCAAATTGAGATTCAACATGTATATCATTGAATAAACCGACATTACAATGAACGTAAAGCATTTTAGCAACACATATGTACATCATTGCACACAAGGTAATAAAAAAAGAAACATACAACATCCTTTCACCAGCTAGCTATGACATATGTAATTCGCTTTCTCAACTCTATTATTTCCCTTGCACATTCCCCATCTTGGGTACAAGACTCTGACAAATTACTTTCAGCTTGTGATATAGTTTGTCTTAGGCGATATTCATAAGCTTCAACAATGACGTGAATGGTCTTCATCTATCCCATGGAAGTCAATGTCACTACGTGAAGGATGTGGCCGATTGTATTTGTAGAGAACCATTGCAGCGATCACAATCTGCACTTTTTTTGCTAAACGAATATGTTTGCATCATGCAGAAAGACTCATTTTTTCTTCCTAACTTCAAATGTTCTTTCACTAACACTGTGTAAGGATGAGTGCCTCTTATTAAACATTTTTTTCCTACCCTGGACAACGTTACTAGCTCTTTCAAACTCCAGAATGTGATATTTGGTATTAGGACATTATTTTAGAAATTCTCTTTATAAATAATACCCAACATACCAAGTAATATTTATCTCATATAATTATAATCATTAGTATTGTAGTAAAATATCATTTTATTTATTTATATTCAAGCAAACCTGATGGTTGCTTCAGAAAATTGTATTTCTTAGTTCTCCAACAAATTTGAATATGAGACTGTCATGTACACTACTTTCTCATCCGACCATAATAAAAGGGAAACACGTGTTAAAGTTATATGCAATCATGATATTTTGTGTTGGTGAACTGCATCGTCTGATGAATGTGATTTTTTTACTTTTCGATACACGTGCATTCAGATGTGTTTCATTAATTGCTCCAATACAATTCTAAAGCATTTAATAAAGGTATTTGAATTGCTGTGTTCAAGTAAATTCAGGAAAATTTGACGCATGCATTTATCTTACAATATGACATGTAATGTTGGTTATTTGAAATTTGTATGGTGGTTCCTTTGGAATGTGGGGTCTTTGGGTTTGATAATTTCGATGATAAGCTGATTAGAGCATTCAACACAATTGAAAAATATCCACTGATTATTTCAGATGAGTGTTAGAATTACTCCATGACTCCTCTCATAGATTCATCTTGTGATAAAATTTAGAGGGTTATGACTGCACTTCTCTTGAAGTCATTCTGGAGGAGCTATGAAGTCCATGATTTCTGTGAAGTTCTTCTAACAGATCGATGCATACGGGCTGTCATACAGAACATTTTGTTAAATCTTGTCGGGTGGTGGATTATTCATATGTTGATGTTATGTACAAAAAAAAAATGGCAAAGGACTCGACGTTTCATAAATTCTCACATTCAATATTTCGGCCCACCATTCTTCCTAACCATCGATGGTTCTCTTTATTGGATTCCAACCCAAGCCTGTGGATCCTCACTTCAATTATTTCCATATTTTTCAGTTTTTCTTTGACTGATCTTACTTCTTTTTCAATTGCATCATATCATATTCCTTTCTTGTGTTTTCTTTGAACTTTTTTTATTATATTTTATTAGTCCTCGTTAAAATAGGTGGTTGGCCTTTTTCTTAATTTCACCTCTTTAAGATAGAGATCATAAAATATTAGTTTCACATCTTTATCCCATATGATAGATGAACCAATTTCTTTTGTTTTAACCATGACAATAGTAGTAAGAAAAGAATTAAGCAACATAAACGTGTAGTAGAGAAAAGACAAAGTGCCATTTAAAAGTACCACAACTCGAATATGTAACTGAAAATGAACACCTGAAATGTATTAACATGTCACCCATAAAACATGTCACCAAAAAACCACTAATAGCACCACAACCGTGTCACCAAAAAATCACCATAAACACCACTATCATGTCACCAAAAAATCACCACTAACATCCACACACATCACCAACAAACCACCACTACCATGTCATCAAAAAACCACCATCAACATCTAAACACACCACCAATATCCACCAACACGACCGACACCACCAACAAAACACCAACACCACCACCAGCATGCCACCAAAAAACCACCACCCACATCCACATTTACTACCAATATCACCACCACCATGACACCTGAAAATCACTACCAACATCTGCATGCACCACCAACAAACCACCAATAACACAACAACCATGCCAACAAAAAATTACCATAAACATCACCATCACAAATATCACCACCTAACACCATCACCATCATGTCACCCAAAAACTACCACCAACATCCACACACGCCAACACCAAACATTTACTCTAACACTAACATGTCACCAAAAAACTTCAACCAAATCCACACACACCACCAAGAAACCATCACAAAAAAACCCCCACCATGGCACTAAAAAACCACTACTAACATCCACACACACCACCTACAAGCCACAAAAAACACCACTAACATCCACACACACCACCAAGCTACTAACACCACCACCACATTGACATAAAAAAAAAAAAAACCACTAGCATCCACACACACAACCACCACCATGGCACCAAAAAACCATCACCAACACCATCTCCACAAACGTCACCACCACCACCACTATGTAACCAAGAAATCACCACCACCATTTACACACATTTCCAACGCCACGACCATGGCACCAAAAAACCACCACTAATATACCGTCGCCAAGGGAAAACCACCAACGCAAACCAAACTGACATCCACACACACCACCACAACACAGTGAAAATGAACACCTGAAATGTATTAACATGTCACCCATAAAACATGTCACCAAAAAACCACTATTAGCACCACAACCGTGTCACCAAAAATTCACCATCACCCCCACCACTATGTCACCAAAAAATCACCACTAACATCCACACACATTTCCAACACCATGACCATGACACCAAAAAACCACCACTAACATACCATCGCCAAGGGAAAACCACCAACGCAAACCAAACTGACAAGTATAATAGCAAAACCACATTGCAAGTATATCAGAATTGAACCAAAAACAAAATAGAGCAAAGAGCCCCAACTGACCGAACCACGCTGAGCAATAACAAATAAAATTTCTTTCCAAAGTCCAACAAATCACAAAATCCAAACCATAGACCCCATTGATCAAAAAATGCAAGGAAAGGGGAAATGCCAGAAATCA